TTGGAGAAATGCTCATGCATTCTATTAAAAATAGCAATTATTAAGCAATTTTCATATTATGATATATTTTATTTTAAGTTAAGTCAGATGGACCTGAATCGAAGATCCCAGGTTCGATCCAGCTTCGACTAGCCTGATGTCAAGCAGTAGTCATATCAGTTTTCACTTAGAAATATTGATAGCATTATGCCAAGTGAAAATAGCCCTCAACCTCAACAAATTATAACTAATGCAGATAGACAGTAAGAAATTCATTACTACAGCTTATATAACCTTTTAAGGGGGTATTCTAGTGTAGAGCGATGAATTTTAGCTCATTTTCAAAGTGTCGTAAAAGAAAGCAATGAATGTTTTTACTATCCATTTTTTACCATTTGTTTATTAATATTATTAAAATAAAATACCAAAATTAAAAAAAAAGAATTGAAAATTGAAGAAACTGGCAGCTGATGAAGTGGGGGGGTCTCAAAAAATTGCTCCTAGCCATCCGAAATAAAAGAAATAAAAATATTATTAATCTACAATGATGTCGCAATCGTCCGAACTAGCAATGCTAATTAGAATGAATATATTATATATTATGTGGAGGTCAATGTGTCGGATTCGTCGAGGAGGCATTTTCTTTTTAGCCCGATCGGATAAATAACTGGAAAGTTTTTATCACAAAAAATACTCGGTTGATTGACTTTGTAAAAAAAATAATTAACGGTTGTACAATAAACTGCCAGTTACCCTTATGGGTATCTGGCCAAAGCTGGGTATCTGCATGGAAAAATAATTCATTAACATTATTTGAATAGCAACAGTATAGTTTTAACGGAGATCCTAAAATACTATAGGCATACGAAAAGGGGTTTTGTTTTAAGCATTCCTTAAAGTTTGGAATAATGGATTAAAAGTTGCTAAATTTCAATTCTTATTAGGTCAATTATTTAGGAAGTACAGGAAGTTACTTAAAAATGCCGTTCACATCTAGCGAATAATAAAAATATTTTCAACTTCCATGAGGAGTAGTTTATATTTTTATGAAAAAACGATTTGCTAATTTTATATTTTCCCGGCGCTAAAGTTATTCTGAATCGAATGAGATCAAATTTGGAACCAAATTTGTGTATGTGCCGTACCGATTTTAAAAATTTAAAAGCCATTCTATATTGTTTGTCAGTTTTGTGCGACAATCGTACGAGCCGTTTCTTTGTAATTAGCATAAAAGTCCACAATTCCATATTCCAGAGTTCTAGCCTACAATCTTAAATCGATCATAAACATTCAAAAACTGTTCCAAAGATATTGGTTGCAAATCACGTTGATTAGTTTTTGGTAGAGATCTGTATAATGATAGATTTCGTAGACTAAAATAGCATACTAAAATATTGAAGGTCTACCATAAGCGGTTGAATTATAAAAATGCAACAAATTCGTCATTCGGCATAAGTTCGAATCCGAATTTATGCCGAACACCTATATACGATTCGTGTTTTATAGGTACTACTGATTACAGTTGACGACCACGAAACAGATGGTATGAAATTTGTTAAACAAACTAATTTAATTTATACAATTACAGATATTGTAAGCATGTTTGAAAAAAATCAATTCGAAATAGTATTAATTCTTTTTTAGTGAAAACGAAAATATTATTTTCGAAATAAACAGTTGAACGAATATTTTACCTAAATAGATGAACCTGAATTCAAGCAATTTTCCGATACTTGTCTTAATGCTTTAAGGCAAAATGACACTCATAACTAGTTAAAAAAATTATGATACATTGAATCAGAAAACCCAAACAGTTTTAAATCTATTTTATGTTTGGAATCTAAATGAAACCGCGCATTGTATTTTTTGCCGTACAATGCAAACGATTTTTCTTAATTATTCTTAACCCAATATTTATTTTCGCAAAATATGTAATTGTTATTATTGATGTGAATAAACAAAATGAAGCATAAATAATTTATTTCGGTGATATTTATATAACAAGTTATTTATAAAGTCTTTTTATTATTAAATATTACGATAGTTTCAGTAGAGTTTCTATTATTATTATAAAATTATTATTATTATATTATTATTTAAAAAATACTTTGACAAAAATAGAATTTAATATGTTTTCCTATACAATTTGTTATTTTTCTCTATATCTAGAGAAAACATTCGAATGTTTCATTTCTTTTCAATAAAATAAATACAAGCCAAACAACGCTCCAAATAACATCGGTAAAATGAAAAGCTACCATAATAGGTATTAAAATTTCAAATCCTCTTCTCTTTAATCAGCTTTTGCATTAAAGACACAAATGCGTTACAAGAGAATTATTTGCATAATAAATACTTGGGGCTGCTCTATTTGGGATAAATAATTAAGGAAGAGAAATGTTTGCGACTGACAAGACGTTGCCAGTGTTAATTTGAGACAGAAAATCTAAACAAGGTGCTGAGGTGAAAAGACATTTTAGAGTATTATGTAAATATAACTCAATAATGTATTTTGAAAGGTCATATCTAATTTATTATCATTGCTTGTCAAATAAGACATAATAATATAGATATAAATTAAAATGTAATAAAATGATGTATTTACAACATAATAATAATAATGCGTAATACTGCCTTAAGGCAGGTCTGTGATCTGAGTTAAACTCCAACTCAATTCAGGGAAGAAGTAGTATGAGAGTTTTTCCCATTTACAACATATTGTTCGCGAATTCTAAAATAATTAGTTTAATCTGTAGCAGTCACATATTTATAAAAATACAAAATACACATTTTAAAAGCAATTGCAAATTGGATAACATATTTCAAAGAGATATTCAATTTCCGAGAGTTGCAATAAATATTGCATAGCGATGTAGATAAAAAATAAAGATAACACTGTGCGAATTTTGGATATAATTAATTTGATCAGTAAAAATTGTGAATTCTGAATGGTTTTTCTGCACATATATAACAAAATATAAATCAACATGATTCTGCAATATGAGAATCCCTAATTATCTATTCATATAGATTCATATAGATCAAATTGAACTAACTAACTAATAAATGGAAATACATACTAAGAATTTGATGCATCAGTAGATTAATAAAAACAATGTTCAATATATTTAGATTATTTATAAATAAGGAATTATAACAAATTTTATCTTCCGATGATCATCCCGTTTGTGGGTTTATCAAGTAGAACGAAAAAGATTTGAATTTTTTGCTCAACTATTCTATTGCTATTTATTGCTTGAAGTTTAAGGAAACCTTTATAAATTAATACAACAGTTCTTAGAAAACCTAAGTGCACTTCTGCATATAACATTAAAACCGCCATCAGCACTTTAGAGCCATAGCCGTGTTTCTCATTGCCATTAAATCAAGGTTAAGTGAATAATGCCACACTATACTTAATTAAATGTCTAGTATATTGCAACGCCAAGAGCGGTTGAAGATCAGAATTGCTTGCGGTTATATTCAAAATCGTTCATTTGCAGTCTTTAACATCAAAAAAATTTTTAATGAAAATGCCAAGGATAGATTATTAATTTCTGACATAATTAGAAAAAATTAATTAAAAGTCATTACATTCCGTTTTATGTTTGAAATACCGATCGGATAAATAACTGGAAAGTTTTTATCGCAGAAATACTGGGTGGATTGACTTTGTAAAAAAAATAATTAACGGTTGTAAAATAAACTCCCAGTTACTTTAATGAGCTCGGTATCTGCAAGGAAAAATAACTCATTAATATTATTTTTTATGTTTGTTATATTGAGTTGCTTTATGTAAGTATTAGAAATCGCGTATTCGAAAGAAAATTTGTATTTTCTCAAAAACTGTACCAATTGCAAAAATTTTAAAACAATTTCATAAAACGTATTGATTTTTTGTCAAATTATCATCCTAAATGTAACTCTGGAATTATCAAAAAGGTCTATTTTTTTATTTTAATATAAGTTTGAATAGCAACAGCATAGTCTTAAGGAGCACAACTAGTGTAACCGCCTAAAAAAAGGCGATTTTTGGGAATTTATATTAAAAAAAACTACTGTATCAATCATTTCAAAATTTTAGGAATATATTTATACATTAAGATTACATAGTGAAATTTGTGAAGAAAACAATTAAATACTTTTTAAGTTTTCGTCGATCTCCAACGGCGCGACAAAAAAAGGCCCTTCACTGCTGCAGTGATTCCGGCCTTCTACGTGGATGAAATTTTAAAAAAAATCCCTTTAAACTAGAAAATATTGTCTGTAAAATGAACTACGATAAAGAAAAAAATCAAAAATTGACAAAATGACGGCGTTTTTTTAAAAAAAGTCGAATTTTACCCAAAATTTTGGTCGTTTTTGGACTGCCAAAATTCGATTTTTAAACCGATCAAAAAATCGATAGTTCATTTTACGGAGAACTATATATCGAACATGTAAAAAAAATTTGGTAGTGATCGGATCATTTGCTTTTGAATAACCGCTGCATCAAATTCGGAAAATGCTGTTTCGAGAAAAACGCGTTTAAAGATTATATGATCGTTATACAATATACTATATATATACTCTTTAAATGGCTGTGACTCAAAAACTATTTCAGATATCGAATTAAAATTTTGGTATGATATTTTTAAAGGTATAACCTATCGAAATATGGAAAAATTGAAAATTCGATCATTTGAAAATTTCACACTAGTTGTGTCCCTTGGGAGATGCTAAAATACTAAGCCTACGAAAAGAGGTCTAGTTATAACAATTTGTTAAAGGAAAAGAAAAATGAATTAAAAGTTGCTTAATTTCTATTATTAGGTCGATTATTTAGAAAGTACTAAAGACACCAAAGACCAAAGACAATTTGCCATTCACACTGAGTTTACAATGCCACTTTGCCTTATCTTTTCAACAAAGCATAAAAAAGTTAGGTTCAAACCATATAGCATATTAATTATTTTGGTTATGTAATTAAATTACTATTAATTATTCATCAATGTAATAATAATAAAATTAAAATTTCTTACCTTTACAGGAGACGATGCCCGCCATGGCTGGAACAAATCCGTAGCAACCGTAGCTGTGTTAGGCGTCAGACTTAAAGGTTTGCTACGTTCGCCACCCAAGCCGATTTTATTCAAATCATCCTTAGAGGCTTTTTCAGCAATCCACCTCTGAAGCACTTCCGGATTCGAGTCCAAAATATCACACAAAATTTTATATTTATCATCATTTTCAGTTTTTTCATCACAAGCGCCATTCGCGCTGACGCTATCTACGCTTTTTTCACTTTTGTCCGAACTATTCGAACTAATATCTGATCGGAGTTCTATAATTTTATCAGTTTCACATTTTTTTGTATTTCATTATTTATCACATTTTCTTTGATTTCGGTATTGTTATTGCTGTGGTAAGCACTTCTTCCAGAGAAGGTTTATAGTCACTTACAACCGTCGGTATAGTCCTTGAGATTTTACTATTCACTATCACTGTTTTATCACATTTCGTATCGATTTCGTATTCTTGAGGAATCTCGTACATTGTTCTCATCAAATTGTCATTTGACTTAGTACTAATCCCGGCCTTCTCCTCGGATTTCTCACTGGTGTCTTCAGCCTGCTCCATTGTTCAGGCACCTCTTGATCAGCTATAATTTTATTGGGAATCGGTGATTGCATTTGTAGATTTTTATAACAATGCGT